TGGATGTGTGGATTGACATGGACAGTCTTTCAGATACTCTTCCAGGGATTTTATAGAAAAAAAGAAAAGGCAAGAAAAAGAAAAATGTTGATGGTGAAGAACCATCAACCAAGAAGATGAAGATGGCAACTACATCTGCTCCTCCTGCTGACGATCTCAGTAAGTCTGTTGTCAACGACTCCTCTCTTGTCTCTAATTTTGGTGTTTCTATTGATGTCTTACCAACATCGTACATTCCATCACCATCACCCATCACTATCTCAACTCCACCACCATTAAATTTCAAATAATTTATGTCTGAAAAACGATTGCCTGAGCAACATTCCTCTTTTGGCTACATAACCTCTTCACACCATTCATCATCTCTACCAACACCCATCATATCTCCATCTGTTACTTCTCCCCACTTAAAAAATCCAAATATTCAAATGTCTAAAGGTACTCCTGATGACTTAACCAATGCTCCTCATTCAGAATCATATGAAGATCTTCCTTCCCTTGTCATACCTAGTATGTATGGTCCTGATCTCAACCCCAATATTTGCGACTTAATCATCAAATTCCCTAGCATCTCTAAAACCAAAAATCCTAATGTTGGTAAGATGCTACAGAAATTTGATCTAGAGTTCAAGAATCGTCTGAATGTTGCTATGCAATTTAGTCTCAAATCTGTCAATCCAGCAGAAAATGATTCAGCTTGAGAAGCCTACAGGAAATGGGTTGATTCCAAAATCTCAAAGATGAAGAATTTTGGATACATATTAGCTTAAAAGAATATTCATTTGTTCCTTGTATCTGCAATGGAAATATTAAAGTAGAAACTTGCTCATTTATGTCTTCCTGCCCCTGAGAAAGAGGAAGAAGAAAGGAATCAGAATGTTGTCTTGGTTAATGTCACAACTGATAAAGGCAAGTAAGTTGTCTCTGAAGATGTCCAACAAACTGCAAATCGTGGCTCTGAACAACTAGTTGTTGTTTCTGACAATTTGAATACTGCTGCTGAGACTTCTACTTCTAGTGTGATCCCATAAATTCTGAAGACTCTTGCTGAGTTGAAGGAAGACAAGGACAAGATTAAGGAACGTTTGGATAATCAAGAAAAGATGTTTCAGATTATTCTCTCCAGACTTCCCTCATCCAACCCTAACCCTTAGTTGCACTTAGTTGTTTTGTTTGCTTGATTGCTTGTTTTAGTGGTTATCTTGTTTTGCTCTTTGCTTATGAACTTTTGCGCCTCTGGCGTTATTTCCATTAATAACTGGATATTATCCTTATGTTGCATCTGTTGCATTTTATTGCATTTCTTTTTTATTGCTGACAAAAAGGGGGAGAAAGTATTGATTTTGATATACCTAATTTCTCTTGAATCAAACCCAAACATTCCAAATATTTGCACTAACCCTTGTTTAAAAGGATATTATGTTAGTTATTTTTCTTTCAGGAAAAATTTACTATATATCAGAAACACTTGAAAATTCATAACAAAATGTATGAAGGTCAATCTCTAAAGATATGATAGCTTCTTAAAGTTTTAAATCATCTTGAGTGAAAAAAGACTTCAAAGATAATTCAAGTTTATTCAATTGATCAGAAGTAAAACTCATCAGCAATTGATATGTGCTAAGTTCAAGAAACTTCTGACAGATAAACCAGTTCTTTTGAACAGAAGGTTCATTTACTCCTACAAAAGGTTAATCAGGGAAGTGTTATTTCATTCTGATTAACTTTTTAGAGTTGCTCATTTCAGGGGGAGCTTTGTGCTTCTTTTTGATATATGTTTTTGGTGATTACCCGATAAAAATTGTTCATCAAAATACAGTGTTTTGTCATCATCAAAAAGGGGGAGATTGTTAGAACAAGATTTGGTTCTGCATCTGTATCTCTAAGTTTTGATGATAACAAGACAGTATTTTTGTGAGAACAATTTTAGTACCCTAACGGTTTGTTATTGTGTATCTTTAGCCTTTAGGAAACAACTTTGATTCTGACTCTTGAACGTGGAATTTTACAAATTTCTGAATATATTGATCTAAATTGCTTCTGCTCAAACTCACGGATGAGAAGCTTCTAAGAAAATTGTATGTTGTTGCTGCAACGTTCTCTTGGCTCTTGCTTCTAACGTGTGACTCTGAACAATTCACTTCTGAAGACTAAGTGCTGAAGACTCTAAAGAGAAGGTTTTGTTGAACCCTGTTCTGAAGACTTAAGTTTCTAAAGACTACTCAAGCTTTCAAAGATTAAAAGATGAAGGTTCTAAAAATTCTGAAGAATCTCAAGTCATATATTGATGTGATCAAGTTTTTGATTGATGATTGAAGTTTCTGAACTCAAGTTTCTGAAGATTAAAAGCTGAAGGTTCTAAAAAATTTGAAGAATCTCAAGTCATATATTGATGTGATCAAGCTTCTGATTGATGATTGAAGTTTCTGAACTCAAGTTTCTGAAGATTAAACGCTAAAGGTTCTAAAAATTCTGAATAATCTCAAGTCAGATATTGATGTGATCAAGCTTCTAATTGATGATTGAAGTTTCTGAATTCAAGCAAAATCAACTCCTCTAACTCATGCTTCAAACATCGTTTTATCCAGAAGCCACTGAAGAATAAAAGATAAGAACGAGCTTATACGTGGGAAAAACAGTACATAGTACAAACTAATATTCCTTCCACTAAGCGGATTTCGTGGAGTAAGGAAATTGAGGTAGTACGATTCTTGTCCCCTCCGTATTAAACCGTTACTCAAGTCGTCAGTTCATTCATGAAGAATACCAGATGTGCACTCCAACGGGTCTTTTTTATTGGCTATATAAAGAATTGAAGAAACTACGCACATGCAAGACTGTTGTCATAACTTGTGCTGAAATTTTTTTTAAGTGTATTGTATTTTTAATTTGTTTATACCTGCTTATATAAAAGCAATCTTTGTAAACACAACCTTGTAATCAAACAGTTGTTTGTATTTTCTAAAGGGACCAGTTAGGTCAGAATCCTTGAGAAGACATAGACATTGTGTCTTTGTGGTTTGTTAGTCACCGACAATTGCTAGTGCAGTTTAATCAGTTGATTATAGTGGATTAAGTCCTTGGGTATAAGGCGAAATCACTTTGGCGGGTGGACAGGATTAACTTTGAGATTTTCAAGTGAACCAGTATAAAAATCAAAGCGTATTTCTCTTTGTTGTTGGATAGCTGTGGTTTTTATTGAGTGAATAAAAAGTTTTTGTTTTTGAAAACTCCAATTATACCCTTAAAATTAATTATTATCTCTTTTTTCAATTATGTAAATTTATCTTCCTCATATCATTAATAAATGACAATTTTATAAAAAAAAACTCATAATTTTTCATTTTTATACAATAATTAATTATTATTCTTAATATGTATGAAAAGTTCAATACAAACTATAATAAAAAACAAATGTAGTAATAAGGTCCTGGGAGTAAATCAGTTACAACTTCCATTATTATTTGTCTTTTGTCCATGATCTTCCCATTACTAGAGATGACACTAATAGCATTGAGAAACTCAAGGTTGAGTTAAAGATATGTAATCTAGACAAACTAAATTTTTCCTTGGTTTGCAATTTCTCTATACTATCAAAGGTATTATATTGCATCAAAAGAAGTATGTTGCTAATGTGCTTAACAGATTTCACATTGAGAATTGTAATGCACCAGAGACTCCAAAGGAAACAAGTTTGAAACTAACTGCAAAAGAGGAAGAAAACTCAATTTATGTTATCATGTTTAAGTAAGTTGTGGGATGCTTAAGGTTTGCGTGAAATAAACAATTTGGCATCAATTATGCAATAGAAACATTGAGTAGATTCATGAGCAATCCAAAGACATCTCACCTAATAGCAGCAAAGAAAATTCTAAGGCATCTAAGAGGTAGTAAGCAAGGTGGCTTATTGTTGCCGGCAAGCAAGGACAAGCAGATAGAAAGGGTCCTTCAATTTAGATTGGTGTGGAGATAGAATTGACTGAAGTACATGAGACTATCAGTTTAGGTTCAAAAATTTACCAACTCCATGGTCATTTAAGAAACAAAGCATGATTGCATTTTCTAGTTGTGGAGCAGGATATGTGGCTGCGGCACAAGCTGCTTATAGAGCAATTTGGCTAGAATCCCTATTGAAGCAATTAAAAGATAAACTACAAAAGTCCAATTGTTGCTTAGCAAATTGTTACTTAGCAACTAAATGTTCTCTAATCTCTAACAATAAGAGTAGTTAATTTGACATAAAAGAAATTTAATATAATGGTGAATTTGGCATAACAGAATTTTAATATCATCCAATTGAGCAGTTGCATATTCCATTATGTGTATGTTTTTGTGGTAATACTCAACGTTAAACCGAAGCTACAACTCATAGCTTTTGTGTAAACCCGTGTCAATATGTTTATTGAGATGCAAGGAATGTTCTCCCCCCACCAAACCAAACACGCTATATATCATTGAGTATAGTCAGGTGAATGACTCATGACATGGTATTTAATTTTCATGAAATGGGAAATCCACAAACATAGGATTGATCATCTTCAGCAGAAGAGTCTCTGATGACTGCTGCCAAAAATAAAAATTCTAATAGAAACTGTTTAACAACCAATCTCAGACCCAACGCACCTCCTGTTCAAGCTAATGAACAACTCATCATTTAAGATGATCCAAAAATCTGTTACTAAAAACTCATTGAACCAATCCGGGGATTAAATAACCCATGAATCAAATCATTTGAAAAGAAAACAACATTGTCATCCTTTGATGTTTACTCCCTCTAGGAACACACAGCCCATAAGCATTATCCTCCAAAGAAGGTTGATTTCACTCATACTAGAATCAATAGAAAAGGCTGATGTGACAAATCTACACAAATACTTTCATGTATTCTACAGACGCTGAATTCACAAAAGATACAGTAAAAAATCTACACATGAATTGAAACTCGAAACTAAGAGACTGGTGTGCAAAGTAATCTTACAATCTTAAAAGACATCCAAACACTAATGATTGCCCGAACTGCTGTTGGTAGTTGACTCAAGATCATTCTTGCAGTTCTCTCTCAAGTCTTTTAGTTTTTCAAAGCTTGATTCCTAAAAGCAGCAGAAAAATATCACTCAAAAGCACTAGGGAACAAAATGAAAACAACAAACCAGGGTGCAGTGAAGCCAAAGTTCACAGCAACATAACAGAAGCCAAAAATATTAAGAAATGGCTTTCACAGAAGCTGGGATCCATATGCCAAGATATGGTTCCATTCCATGAATAAGCAAAAGTATAAGGATTAAGGTATATTAAGGTTTTTTATGGGTCCGTGATCGTGTCTCCAGTTGAGGTCACATCAACCATAATTGACAACAACTTTTAGCAATATCAAGAGTATAAACCCTTGAAAACAATATTCAAGGCTTTTTTTTAAAATTAAAATAGGAATGGAAATCAACATTAGAATAAATATTGAAATTTGAGATGCAAGCACAGGTGATGAGATGACACAGAAACTCACAAGTTGCCTACTTTCATGACCCAGTATGCTTTCCATATAAACAAACAGAGATTTCCACTGATGCATAAGGGTTGATTCTAAATCGGATGGATCAGTGGCGCCTTGTTGCTCATTTATGATAGTACGAGTGTCATTTATTCCAGAAACTTTTTGAACCACCAATCTTGCTTCCTTCTGACTCTTCCTTAGAGCTAGCAAAATGTTTAACATAAAATCGTTAAAAAAGAAACCCAAATTGATAGACGAAAAATACTCCATTATGATAATTGAATATAATTGTGCAAGTGCCTATGAAATTTCAATATCATCTTACCAGTTAGTCTTCCCTTGACATCCTGGTAATGAAGATCCGACCAGATATAAGCAGCTAGTGATCACCATAAATTAACAACCACTTAATAATAACAACATAAGACAAGAAAGAAAGAAAAAAAACACAAGCAAAACTTCATGCATAAAAATGCAACAATTTGGTTGTATTTAACTATCTGATTTTAATATCAAAAAAAAACTATCTGATTATCAGTAGTAGGAGGCCAGTAATAGAAAGTTAGGTCAAGAGGCAAGTAAAACATGGTCAATTCGAATTCAGGTTCTTCCAAACAATTGAAATTCATCATTCATTTGAGCTCAATGGTTAAAAAATGCATAGAAGAAGAGCACAAAAATATGCATAGAAGAAGTTTTAATGTAAAACTACCTTTGGAGCAAAAGGAACAAGTACAATTTTTCAGAAGCTCAACACTAACATCACCACCAACGTGTGCATCTAAATTTGCACCACCGTGATCTTTAAGTCCCGCACACCGTTCCAATCCTGGAAAATTAGAACCAGACACAATCGACGGTACCACCGCAACACCTGCACATTTGGGCAATCCCAAATTGTCCACAACACAATTCTCCCTATCATCATCACGTTCAAAAGCACGATCTATAAAATCGTAATTCTGCGATCCTCCTTGACTTTTCTGACTAAATCCAACAAAACTATCATTGGAATCATCAGTTCCGCCACTCGGTAAGCTCGGTTCTTGAGACGAATTATTACCGGAAAGGGGTAACTCGACACAAAGGTTTTTCCCCTTATCTTCTCTGAGACATTTCTTTTTGAGTAAATTCTCTACTCCGACATCGCCGGAAATCGACGATAGCTGCCTCTTCAACGGACGATTAGTCATGTCCGTGAGAGCGGAGCGGGTTTTGATAACCGTGTCGCTGAAATTGTCTTCGCTTTCCATGGATTGGATCTTGAGAGAGTTGAAAATTGAAAACTGAAAATTGAAAATTGAAAATTGAAACCCTAACAGTGGGAATCGCGTGAAAGTGTTGGGAATAAAGTGTGAACCCTATATAATGTTGGGAATTGGCGAAAGGAGAAATAGAAAAAATGAAGAATAAAAAGAATGAGGGAATGCTCGTTGAGAGTGAGTGTTACGGAGAAGCTGCCATGGCGAAATCGAAAAGGAGGAGATTTGTTCGCGGGAGGTTAATGGAGCCCCGCCTCACGGTGGTTTTTCAACTTTGAAATTGAATTACAGTTTTAAAAAATGCGGCGGGGAATTCTGAATTCGAGACCGAACCGGGAGCCCAATAGAACTAGCCCACCTCCCACCTACTCAAAAACCACCGAAATCTTATGTGCATTACTTTATGCAACCATCAAAAATGAGTGTGAACTGACAATTTGAATTTGCATTTGTGCTTCTTATATTTTGTACTTTATATTTGTTAAAAAATGATCGAGATCTATGTATAATAAAATCATCCTAAAACAATTATAAAGATGCATCTTCGTACTAACTCTTAAAAGTATGATATGTTTTACAACAAGTAAATTATTTACTCTAAATTTGTTAAAAATGATTCGGAGATACATCTTTATAGTTTGTTATGAATGATTCCGTAGGTGTATTTTTGAAACATCCTCTAAAAGCATTTTGGGAATTTTTGTCTTTGCCGCAAGTGTTCAAAATTGATATTTTTTAGACCAATTCATTTAAAGGATATCATAACATCGTATTAATTATACTAATGTAATTCAAACATGTCATATATAGAATTAAACAATAATTCAAATCCAAATAGTAATCAATTAATCAAAAATGTTACCACGATACTGTTAGCTAGCAAATTTTGACTAAGGAAAAAAGAAGTGAATCAAAAGGAAAAACTTTGCATCACAAATAAAGAAGCACCGAAATAGGCCGACATTGTCAAAGAGGTTCGACGGGCAAGACAAGAAAAGAACATATGGTCTCAGTCAAAGCAAGTTCGACAGACAACCGTAAACATCAAAGTCGAAGGCAAGTCAACACGTGCAACTTTTGAAAGCAGTTGATGAGAACATGGGAAAGTTATAAGCAAAGTTGGTGTGCATGGATGGACGTGTGGCTAGCTATGAATAGTCGACAACAAAACAACATTTATTTGTATGCATATTTAAGTAGAATTTAGTTTCAGTTCAAGAGGTTGCATTTTGTAGCATTAAAAAGAAAACACTCAAAGTACTAATGTCTAAGAGAGACGAGTTTATTTCTACAAAAATGTATGCATGCGTCAAACTTATATTCAAGCAATTTACTTTATAAGTCTTTTTCAATTCACTTTCCTTTACATTTATTTGTCTTGTTTTCTCATTCAATTCAATTCCTTGTCTACCATTTCAACCCCAAACACTTAAATAACCATTCCATACCTAACACTAAGTCTAGGATTTTGTACCCGATCCTGCGAGTAACCTTTAATAAGAGGCTAGAGATTGTTCTCTAGAAATTTGCACAAACAAATTGGCACACCCGGTATGACCCATTTTGTTAAGTAGATGCAATTGCGTAATGGTAAGAAAATGGTATATCCACGAAATAATAGTCCAAACAAGGAGCAACCCTCAGGAGGAAATGCAGTTGTGTCACAAACAACTGATGTTGGTTCTAACATTATGGCTGCGATTTCGACTGCCCACAGTGGACCAATATTGTCACCGTGTCGGCCTGAAACTCCAAGATCGACTGTGGTTGAAACTTCAGGGCCATATATGCCTAGTTTCACAATTCCAATGTATGGTAGGGATCGAAGCTTTGGAATGCCAACCAAATTGATGGCAAGTATACATAGTAGTAGTTCGATGTTTGGCAAAAATGCATCCTTCGTGTTCTCACCTTACCATGGATTAAGACCTATGGGAAACCAATTCATTCGAACCATAGAGCTAGGGTTTTCATCTCAGGAAATCTCAACTTTCACCTCAAGTTATGTCGCAATTATGAGGCAGCAGTGGATGAAAGTAATCACGAAATGGTCCATATGTTAACTCAGCAAATGGGTACCATATTTAGGCCATTAATTCAAGATTCGAATCAAAGTTACCAAAAACTAAAAACTCGAATGACTCGAATAGGTGATTTCTTAGGTGCTCATAGGGCACAAGTTTGACAGACGACCCCACCTCAACCAGAGGTACCAGTCTGATATGAAGAGAGGTTCGACGAGACAATTAACCAAGAATCCCATGCGATCGAACCAATACCTAGGGTGGCCCAACGTCTTTCCGTCGTGTTAGTTAATAGAAACCACGAACTTGACCGCGTGGTCAGGCAAGTTTGACAGGATGTAATGGCTGGAGAACAAAACCTAGAAACCATTGTCGAGCGAATCATAGTTCAAAATGGTGTGAACCTTGGCCTTCAAAGGCCAACTATTCGTCCTTATTACCGGATTTTGTTGTGCAAACAGAATTTCCCAGGGGATGGAAGGTTCCGAAGTTTACCTAGTTCGTTGGAGACACTGAAGAGTCCACTGTCAAACACGTTGCCATGTATCAAACTGAAGCTGGTGACATAGCAAATAATGAGGATTTAAAAATGAAATACTTCCCAAGTTCCCTCACAAAAAATGTGTTCACTTAGTTTACAACAGTACCTCCACAACCCGTCCATATGTGGACACAATCAAAGAGGTTGTTCCACGAACAATTCTACATGGGATAATTAAAGATAAGTTTAAAAGAGTTGGTCGACGTCAAACAAAAGGTCGTTGAGTCAGTCGATCAATATCTCAACAAGTTTAGACTTTTGAAAGCAAGATGTTTTACTCAAGTACCTAAACACGAGTTAGTAGAGATAGCTGCAAGCAGGTTAGATTATTCTATCAGGAAAAAGTTAGACACCTAATATCTTAGAGATATGGCACAATTGGCTGATAGTGTTTGACAAATCGAACGACTGAAAGCTAAAAAAGCCAAAATTAGTAAAAACCATAAGAAAGAGAAAGTGTCTTACGTAGCAGCAGACGCGTACTCTTCTCACGATGAAGAGCTTGTTGATGAAAGTGAGGTCAACATGGCTGAGCTTAAGCCAGGACCTCCCTATGCTTGTAAATTGTTGAAACCATCAAACAGGAAAAATCCCGTCGAAACTGAAAAAATAGATAAATTTGTTACAAAAACTTATACTTTCGACATATCTAAATGTGACAAAATATTTGATTTGTTAGTCAAGAATGGTCAAATTATTGTGCCTCAAGGCCTGAAAAATCCCCCATTATAGCAAAAGAAAAAAAGGATTATGTAAGTTTCATAATTTTCTTGGTCATAAAACATCTCAATGTGTTCTTTTCAGGGATTTGGTGCAAAAGGCTTTCAAGGAAGGCAGGCTTCAATTTGGCGAAAATCCAAATATGCAAGTGGATACGGATCCTTTGAAGGTTACGGAGGCCTTATATGTTGAACCTTTTGAGTGCATGATGGTTGAAACTATTGATGGTTTCGATGAAACCCTGTATGTTGAACCCTTTGAGTGCATGATGGTCGAAACTACTGATGGTTTCGACATGAAAAATGAAGATGAATTGACGAAAGTCTACCCTAAAGCTGGAGAAGATTTGACTAATTTTTAGGAAAAATACAGAGTGGGAGGGTCGAAGGTTGTGCTATGTCTAAGATGCAATATTGTCTTTGATGAAAAAGTTGCAAAAGAAAACTATGAAGCAAACAAGGAGAAGGCGTCAGAAGGAGAAAAACCTCCCATTCCAAGATTTGTGTTTGACAAAAGGGGAGCTCCTCGACAAAATGAAGAGTTCAGAAGGCAATTCCAGCAGCCTCGACCAAAGATCTTTCGTCCTCTATTGAACATCCCGCAAGAAAAATGGGTGGAATCAGTGAATCAAAAAGGGGGCGAGAGGCCAAAATGGAGAGTACTTGATCTAGAGATAGAAGCAAGTAATCCAGATAAAAGAATTGGACCTAAAGGCTATGTGGTTTCTCCTAATTACAAAGGGAAAAACCCCATGAAAAGAACGCAATGGAGGCATTATCAGAGGAACAAGAAATATGAGAGAGAGGCTTCAAAATCATAGTTGAAACCTGTCAAAACTCCTAGGCAAAAAAGGCACTGTCCAAAAGGAAGGTTGGGCGAGAAGGAAAAAATAGTGGCGAATCAAACGTTGGCCATGAATGTTCATCCTTTGGGAGAAAAGGAGATAGTGTCAACCCATAACGTATAGTACACTCCCCTGATCAGGGAGGAAGAACCTGAATACACTCCTTGTTCAGATGAGAAAGAACCTAAATACACTCCTTAATTGGATGAAGAAGAGCCTGAGTATACTCCTTAACCAGAAGATGAGATGGTCGACAACAATTATGGTGAGGACTTTATCATCAACTGCGGTATCATGTCGGTGTTACCTGCTGAATATGACAGAGTTTTGGGAGTTTCTGAAGTTGACGAAGACTTTGTGCCAGACGAAATTGTTAAAGTCAAACCATTGTGTTACTATGTTATGAACAGCAATGTGGTGGAGGAGTAAAAGGATATGTTTGAGAAGCCTAGTCCAGGAATGATGTATCATCTGAAACCATTTTTCATAAGGGAAAAGGTAGATGGGATACCAGTAAACAAGGTGTTTGTCAATGGAAGGGTAGCTGTTAATTTAATGCCTCATACCTTGTTCAAAAATATGGGAAAGTGTGATGCCGATATTCGATAACACAATATGGTTTAACCAACTATGAAGGAAAAACCAGTTACATGCTAGGAGTGATCCAAGTCGAGCCGGCTGTTAGTACAACTACCCGATCAATGTTGTTCATGGTGATAAACTCCAAAGCAAACTTCAATTTGCTATTAGGACGTGAATGGATCCACGAAATAGGGGCGGTGCCATCAAACTTACACTAAAGGTTAATTATCTAGAGAAAAGATGGCATTGTAGAGAATATCGAAGTTGACCAGAGTTACTA